TCTCACACCAAACATGCTTGCCCGTTCAGCCGTGGGGGCGTTATAATGTGACGGTCAATCCCACTATTCATTGGTAAAAGAGTGGCCCAAGAGTTGGCGGTGGGTGGTGATGACTAGCTTCCCTCCCTCTAGTCTTACACTGCTAAATTAGGGACGGCTAGCGCAGATAGCCCTCGTGTAGCTTTGTGCAAAATTCAAAAACAAACAAACAATCAATCTAGCTTGAAATTCTCTAAGGAGCTAGATTAAGAATATTTTGTTAAAAATATAGTAGACCTAACATAATGTCTTAGGACAAGTATAATTGATTATAATCATGCTTCCCCAGCTTGTGAAAGGCACTTACACCATAACAGTTGTCTTTCTAAAGTTTTGTCAGAGTCATTCTAAGATATTAATTTATTTTCTAAAAGTTATTTTAGAAAATGATTTGTTTCTGATACAGTTATTCAATGCTGATGTATTAGGTTGTTTGTGCTTAGGTTTAATGTAGTTTTTAATTTTGTAAAATAACTTAATTGAGTAATATGGTACACTAAGAAGTAGAACATTTATTATGAGATTTTTCTTGTATTAATTATTTTCTTACTGCAGATCCAAGTGGATACACTAAGTTCACATTTACTGAACCAACTGTGCCTGAAGAAAGGGAAGGTATGTTAGGGCTATACATCTATAACACATATTTGATATGCAGATCAATATTTGTCTTAAGAAGGTATAGAGGTTGAGTACATTATATTAAAATCATTTTGGAGCATCATCACATTGTTACAGTCCATGTTGACACATTTGGTCATGCTCAATCTGCGTATCTTAACAGCAGTCCTACTGTATATTTTCCATTGCAAAAGGCTTCATTATAAGGCTTTCTTGCCTAAAGCACACTATTCTTTCATGCAAGCTTTCCATAATCCATCCAGTATACAAAAGCGACAGTTTCTCAGTGCCAATTTCAATAGTCCAGCCACACACAAATCCATAGATGCTACATCTAGCATTGTAATTGACATTTCTTCATATGGAATAGCATTAATACTCGTTTCATTCTCTAGCTGCATAAGTTTATGTGATGGTGGAATAAATATGTAATGGAAGCAACTTCTGTACATGTAATTTGTGTTGGTTTTCTAGATGGAGATTGTTCTTGATTATATTGTGTACTGTTGTCTGTGGATGGCCTTTGTGTTCTTTTGTGTGGCTTTTCTTGTGTTCGTGGATTTTCACCTGTTAAAAAATTCCACTCTTTACTTACTACCATTATGGCACGACTTTTGTTGGTCGCTGTCCAAATTATCCTGGTACCTCTAGTTAGTCCATATTCCTTTGTTTTCTAATCCCGCTAACTCTTTCCATAGGGGATCAGTCAATGTGACGGACTTTATAACTACAAAGTATCCATCAGTTACCATACTATAGCTCTGTCACTATGTGCTCAGTCCCAGGGACCAACCTTATAATATTTTGTGTTTGTTATAGTTTTCTTTGAATACAGTATACATATCTTCATGAAGAAAAATTTTGCAGATTATCAGTAAACATTACAAGGTTTTTGTACACAAAATATCAGATTTTTTTTTTTGTTATCAAGTTTCAATATTTTTTAACTAATGATTTGTTCATGCATTTTTTCTTTTCAACTGTTGACTATCCAACATGCAAAGTAATTTTGATTTTTAGATTAAAAGTATTTTTATGCATCAGGAGATTGTCACATTTCACATGAAATCTCTATAACCTCCAGATAATTATCAAATGTTTTTTTATTGAAAAAAACTGTATTTTACCTGTTATTTTCACTATCAAATCTCTATATGGGTTTTATCATTTTGACCGACCTCATAATCCACCATAAAAGATTAGGAAATAGATACAAATTATGCTTTTCTTTGTTCTTGAATCACTACAGATTATAACACAAAAACACAAATGTTTAGTCTAAATGGATTAAATCTCATAACATTATATATTTATTATTTTTATTATATTGAACTTTCAGCCATGCCTGGCTAACAATACAGAAAAATGATGTGGCACATGTGCACTGATGTTACTGTATCCAAGAATATATAATTGGCCTTTACAAAGTGACATGTCTTGGTTTTGTTCCAGTGGACCAGTATTTTGTGAAATACAGCGACATTTCAGTTATAATAGATTACATATGTATACATATTATAACTATTTACAAACAAGTTCTTAAACTTCAGTTATTTTTCTTAAAACATAGAACAGTAAATAAAGAAATATAGAGAACAACAATCTCTACTACTTACGATTGTAAAGAAGTTTGTACTCACTTGCCGTACCTTGCATGCTAAACCTTGCCAAATTTTGCATGTGGAGGATGTAAATGATTGGACACAAAAGAAGTAATCTTGGGAAATTCCCACCTACAAGAGTCTGAAAAAACCACATGGGGGAAATTCTCTTTTGATTGGTTATAAACACATGATAGAGTGAAATAGGTATACCTAAGCAAGTATTTCCAAAAATGGAAGAGGTGGGTGGAGCTACTGCATTTGATTCACTAAATATAGTGATATCTCAGCAAATAGAAAAGATAGGAGGTTCTTATTTTAGATTCTAGTTTGTAAATATTGATAATTTGAGTTTCTAATTCATAAGAAACTACAGAGTTTGTATTTGGACATCACAAACATCTAATTTGAACCAAAGCTGCATTCAACATACCACGTGATACACAAAAATCGATATTTAAGAATTTTTTTTCCATTTACTTTTAAATTAAGAAATTAACTAATGTATAATACTAAAATTTTAATTCTAGTTTACAATTTAATACCAAACTTATTGACATACATTCATAAAATAGTAGTTCAATAAACTTTTGAATGTATGTCTAGAAATGTGATGACATGCCCTTTGACCCTTGACCATAGAAAAACCTGTAGCGATAGGTTTCATATGTTTTGTGTATTTTTCACAAGGCTACTGTACACAATAAATTGATTTTTTAATTAAGTATGTTTATGAAAGGTTTGTCTGTTAATATATGGAGTCAGAGTGTTGACTGTTCTGAGTGCAAAATGATTTTCATGTTAAGGTTAAAAATACTTTTCTTCATCCAAAAATTTTCAAATTTCATTTGTACAATTTCTAAAACTGCCTAAATAAATATAATTTTTTTTCTCTAAAACTTTTTATTTTATCTGTTGTTTTCTCTACCCTAACTCTGTATGAATGCAGATGATTTGACAAACCTAATTAACACCATAAAAAGTGCAAAAATCTATATTACCCTTTTTTTTCTTTCTAAAATTACTGCAGATTGTAAAAGAAAGCTAAAATTGTTTATTAAAGCTTATAATGGTCTATATCTATTTGTACTTAATCGTTTTGTTGCCCTTTGAACTGTGTCTAATTATTAATCCTGCCGCACAAGTAAATCTATTGGCGAACATATAGCACATGCTACTTTATTGAATGATGTAACAGATGGGCTACTCGCGAGCTACTTTAGGAAGAATTTTTATGATTATAATTTTTAATCCTCAGTATAAATACACCTTTATGATCTGAGTGTACAAATATTTTGAATCAGAATGAATAATTTTAGTTCAGAGGGCATACACTAATTTTTTTTTCTCTCTAAAAGTGTAAAATTTATTCTTGTAAGATGCAGCTTACTTGAGACTGTAGCACATATTTTCCAAAATCCTTTGTGCCTGCATTTTTTATAGGTTTTTACTTCAAGTCTTTCTTTTTTGTAATTGCAGTTGTTTAAAATCATAAATGCAGTTGTTTCTTAGTTTAGCTGGTAAAAGTTGAAAATATGTGTGATACTAATATATTTATAAATTTATAGGTACTAAAGAAATATTTTGGCGAAAAGATACTTTAGGTTCAATGATTAGATATGATTGGTTTTCCTAATGCTCAAATTGGTATTACAAGCTGAACAAAATTACAAAATAGCTTTGTAAATCAGTGTATGAAGTGTTGGAATTATAAAAGAAGACTTTGTTCTGTTTATCAGTTCTAGACCTTCCACCATTTGATACTTCAAAAACAAGTGCCATGTCTTTCATTTTCTCTCCACCAATTACGAGATCCCGCACTCGACGTAGAAGATCAGAAGACATTGGTTCTGATGTAGAGTCATATACACCTCCAAGACGACAATTTAGAGACCCTTTGTTAAGTGACTCTCCAACCTCAGTCACTTCAACTGATTTGGACATGGTATCAGAAACTCAGGCTGTAGTCATAACTACAAAAACCAAAGAAACAAAACCAAAACCTAGGTCAAAAAAGTAAGATTGCTAGTACTACTGTGTTTTATCCTACAGAAAATAGCTGGGAAATATTTTATACATTATTTTAAGCACCACATTTAATACTTGTATTTGTTATTACCAGTTCTTTACAATATTAATTAATAGTATCTATATCAAATTTTCATTTTCTTTATGTAATTATGATTAATTCAGTCATATAAAGTATTTTTATAAATTGTATACCAACAATGAGTGGATGAATTTGTATAATTATAAAGTATATTATCACTCACGTGAGTTTTGTTTTCTAATAAGTTTACACAACATAGTTTCAACCTTGAAACTTTTGAGATATTTATAATTTAGTCCCGCAAGTATCAAACTCAGCTCATGATAATAAATGGTAATTGTTAGTCTAATCACGTGATATTGATTGACCATCACTTTAAACCGAGTTTTGATTACTTGTAGGCCTAATTTATAATTCATTATCTCAATAAACAGTGAATTTTCTTTTTGGGTACTGTCTTGCAATTTTTTAAAAGCTTATATTCACACTTTTTTTTTTTTGATAAAAGGTTTGATAACAATGATTTTTTCTTTTTCAGGGGCAAACCACCTGCTCACAGCATTATTAATTTGATATCACCTGTGCCAGAAGAATCATCTACGGCAGTGGCTTCTAGTTCTCGAGGCCTAAAGAAGACAGGAACTCAAGCTAAACATACCATGACACTAAGAAAAGCTAAGTTACAGTCACGCCGTAGAGTGAAACTTTGACTAAACATGGACTTTATGTAGTCAGAAATTTCAGACATAAAATTTAATTCCTTTTATACACACAAATGCAGATATCTGAAAGCAACAATAGTAATTTTCTGTATAAATACATTCTTTTATTTATCCACAGCATGATATTAAGTATTATCAGAACTTGGTTGTAGTTTGAACAACTTCTCAATGAGTGTACAGTGGTTTGAAGATAAACTGAGGAATAAAAGATGACATTTTTTATGCTACAGAAATTGTGTTGTGGCTCCATCAAAGAAATATAGTAGAATAGAATATCCATGTGTTCAGCTTTTTTAAAAATACGAAACATATTTTGCAACTATATAATCAAGTGATGAAAGTACATTGTGTTACATGTTTCTAGTTTTGAGCAGAGGAATTGGTGTTTTCTTATTTTAATGATCCATTATTACATAAGCTGTGTAAATAATTTTAACATAAAACATTTGTTATAGTTTGTAAATATAGGGTATTGCATATATTGTGTTAAACTTTGTCTGGGTAAACTAAGCTCTGTGAAAGCTTACATTTTCCATAACGTAGGAACTGGACAGTTTATATGTAAATCTATAAAGATCTTATTAAGTTTTTCTGTGATGGCCTTCTACTTTGTCTATAGTTAAAATGAATATTTGTGAAGATACAAATATGTTTTTTGAATCAATATCTGTTTCAAAACGATTTCTGTTTGCAGTTTTATTTGCGTTTTTTTTTATATTTTGTGTTAGAATAGAGTAAAAGTTCAGATAACATAGCAGAGAATTTCTTTTCAAGCTTTTTGAAAAATGAAAGAATAAAAATCTGTATTTTAGAATAGTGGTGTTGGTATAGAAGTAATGGTTGGTGATCAAGAGTTCCACAATGACAGTATGTGTGTGTATATATATACACACACACATCACAAAAAAAAACTAAAGTGATATATGGTGAACAAAACAGACTAGATAGCATTATATATGACTTTTTTTAAATTGAAAATGTATTAATCTTTTTCAAACAAGCAAAAACATTCTTGTACATTTTGTTATGATATGCTGCTTTAGTTCACTGTTTAAAGGTCAATCATAATAAACAATGACAGGTCAAAAAAACAACAACATTGGTACTGTATTTGTTTCACACATGACACTTGAAGCCAGATGTATCATGCAAGTGAGTGCATGTTCAATTTCTGTACTGTTTTGTAAGTCAGTGTTCTTTACAAAGCATTCAACTAACACACACTGGCTAATAAGAGGTGTTTGTAATTAGAAATAATAGCCTAAAATTTAAAATATTATTTTTATGTATCCTGTTGTTCGGTATTGAGTCCCTTTTTTAAGCTGTGTCATTATATGAGGCACTTTCTTTTGTCTGTTTGCAGCATCAACTTGTATTGTTCTTCAAGAGCAGTTTAATAGCATACTTGCTGTTTCAGAAATTCCAGTAATGTTACATTTTGTTTCTCAACCTGCCTAATAATGCTAAGACTTAACTTTAATAAGTTGTTTTTAAAAAACACTTAAATCTTCATGTTGCAAATAAAAAAATTAAAATTTTAATGTGTTGAAAATCTACTTTAAAAAAAAATCATTCCTCCTCCTAGTTTCTCTTCAAACTTTTGAGAGTTTGGTTCATGATGTGTGTATAATTTTCTTCACTTCAAGGATTATTCATATGTTCTTTCAAAAGGTAAGCTGCATGCTTGTATCTAGACTATCTTTTTAGCTACTTTACCTGTCTTTTTATTATTATTATCAATATTAAATCCACCATCCTCAGTGGTAATTTTAGTAGGGATTCTACCATTAAAATTTGGGTTTTGATACCCATGGTGAGAAGAGCACAGATACTCCTTTGTGTAGCTTTGTGCTTAACAGAAAAAAAAATAAAAATTATGTAATTTTACTACATTGTATAAATGAAATACAAAACAGATTAAGAGGATGTTAATGCTTGGTTTCTCAAATTTGGAAGAAATTTTATGCTTAGCTAACATAAATTCAGAATCACTCTAAAATTTAAACATTGTTGCTACTTAATACTGCCTTGAGGTGGCAGTTTTTTCAATTATTATTGCAGATCATAGAGATAATTGTATAGCAATTGCTGCAGCTATAGGGAGACTTGTATTTTATTGTTGTAGATACACATTTTAAATGGTTTCCTGTTTACCATTTAGTCCGATTTAATTAAAACAGATCTTTGTATTAGGTAACAATGGAATAGAAATGGAAATCTGCCTATTATTTGATTTTTACTGTTGTACGAATAATGTTTAATTGTCTACAGTCAATGGAACGATTGTTTCTCTCTACATCCTTTTGGTATGTGATATCAGATTTGCTTTATAGTTCACTGAAATATAAAAAAATAGTAATTTTTTCATTCCATGAATACATTATTCTTTTACATCTATTTAAAATTCTGTTTAGAACCAAGCTAGTTAATGAGTTAAAACTCTCCCAAGGATCAAAATAATGTTTACATACATCAAGAATACAACTAATTTAGTAATAAGACATGAAATGTAACACACTGTATTTAAAATACATAAAATGTCTAGTTTAATAATTGCCACTTGTAAAGATTTTTAAATTCAAAGAAAATTAGTTTTCAAGTAATCTAGGGAATTATAATACTGGATTTACTGAAATTGGAATATAATATTTATATATTAAGCAAAGTGCTTAAACTTAAAATTATTCTTTTTAAACATAAAATTATATCTTTTTTTCTTGTTAATATCAATAACTTGAAAATAAGAAGTGAAATTTTTTACTTTTTTTCTGACTAAAAATTGTTTTAAAATAAAAGAACATTATAAAAATACTGGAAACAATATAATTGAAATTTGCTTACAATAGTTATGTATAATTGAGAACAGTATTTTACTGCAAATAAATTGGTTTTCATCTGAATAATATTTTTACTTCAAAATGGAATATCATAAAACTAGCTTTCAAGAATTAATCAGAACTTCTACTTTTGATCTTTATTTGGAGTAGCTTTGAATTTCTTCTATGTAAAACTTTTTATTTGTCAACCTTTTTCAAACTTAGACAGTAGCTTACAAAAAGTTTTATGGAAAATAAATAACATTTAAAACTAACTTTCCAGTTTTTATATGTCCTGGATACCATATTGTTTAGGCCCATCATGGCCATGTGGTTAGGGTGCTTGTCTCACAAGCTGAGGGTTACAGGTTTGAATACCCTTCTTACCAAACATGTCCGCCATGGGGGAATTATAATGTGATAGTCAATCTCACTACTTGTTGGTAAAAGAGTAGCCCAAGAGTTGGCAGTGGGTGGTGATGGCACAGTTAGACCTCATGTAGCTTTGTGCAAAATTCAAAATAAACCAAACCAGTATTATTCGTGCTTTAATGTTTCATCAAGAAGTACCTTTAGGCCTAATATTTGTGTTAAAAGTAATGGTACATTATAGATAGTTTATCATTATTGTGCAAGTATTTAGCACTTGACATTTTACCATGAAATGTACTTTCTTACAGCATAGTTAAGTTTCAGCTTACAAACTGTCAATCATTTCAAAAACCCCTGACAACATCAGACAGTAAAAATAGGATATTCATAATAACAAATGCAATAGCTAACGAAAGTTTTTACTGGACAAGGAAGTTATGTCTCCCCTATTAAAGTCAACAGTGCACTTTATGGCCCCCTTGTGTGAATGGCATCACACTACTATGTTTGGTTATGGTTAACGTTAGACGTTTTGTGCATCATTTTGAAAATTTGTATAAGACTGAAAGTGCACAGCTTATCTACACTTGGTAACAAACACTTATGAATTAATTTGATACATGTTTGTACTTTATCAGTGTCCTGTGGTTTATCTTTAGATAAACACAATTAAATAAACGCTTGTTTGATTTCTATAATTTTCATGTCTTGTACACTTGAAACCCTTGATTTGAAGTCTGGCCAAATTTACATGGAAATTTTGACTTAACTTCTTGAAACTTATTTTGTTTAAGTTATTTTCTGAAAAGGTAAATATTTCTTTAACTACTCTATAGCAGAAGGCCTGATAGTTAGGGCACTTGATTTGCAATGTGCAGAATTGAAACCTGACACCAAGCATACTTGCCCTTTCATATGTCACTAAAGACTTGGTGGTGAGTGGCATTGACTAGCTGCCTTAATTCTGGTTTTTCACTTCACAATAAGAAATGGTAGCTCATGTAGTTTTGTGCAAAATTCAATAAACAAACAAACCATACTGGAATGTTGCAATGATAATTTCAAATTTAGATAAAAAATATTTTTTCATACCTTCTCAAAAATGCATATTTCTCATGTAAAAAAGTTACCATTATGAATCACAATTGATGAAATATATGACTGGTGTGTGTATGTGTGTATAGACACACAGAAAAAATCTCATACTTTATTACACTTGGTAATAGTTGTTGTTTGTCTATAAAATAACCTTTTTTATGAAAAACTGGAACAGTAAGTTAAAGTACTGAAAGAAAAGGGTAAAATTCCCTCACTTGTAAATATCTAGATTGTTTCAATACTTTTTCAGGAGTAAAAATTTCAATTATAAGTAACTTCAGTGTTTTTCAAAAACAAAACTGTATACCAATCCTTAAACTATACATTTTTTACTTTGTAAGAAAGAAATGAAGCATTTTCAGTTGAAGAAATGTTTACATTTAATATTATGATTATGCCATAATACAATTGTAGCATTTAATGTAATTAAGGACTGGTGGTTAATGTGCTGAACTGTGGAATTGAGATTTCATGGTTCACACCCGTTACTGCACTTTGGGGCCGTGAGTGTATTTTAACAGTGATGATTAAATCCCACTCTATGGTGTGAGTACAGTAGCCCAAGTATTGGGTGTTCTTGACTAGCTGCTTTCCCTCTAGTATATCACTTCAAATATTAGGGATAACTAGCTCAGGTAACCTGTGGCTTTGTACAAAGTTCAACAAACAAATCATATAATAATTACTGGTGAAATTGCTGTATTTATGAATTTAAAGGATTGTCTGTTGTTAGTGTCAGACTGCAGATCAAAGAAAGATATATATTCCTTGCTAATGTTAAGACTTTGAAAAATTTGTATAGAAGCAAATACTGAAATACTTCATATGATTCTTTACTTTTATAGAGGAGTAAGTGCAAAGGGCAATAGCAACTTTACAGTTGTAATTTCTGTAGTTTTTCCTTGCTTGAGCCACAGGTGATGAATCCATAGTTTTGTGAGAATATTTTTCTGCTTAAATTTTTTTAAACACCCCCAGTTTCATCATTAGTAGAAGACTGTTGTAAGGGACTGTCTCTGCCTTTAAGCATGTACTTAATTTTGAAGATAAATATAAGTGATGGTACTTACAACAATATTTGTAACTTACTTCAGCCCAAATAAATATATAACAAAAACTGATTAATAACTTCATGCCCATTAAGTAATTGCAAATAAGATTACAGGCTCCACTTCCCTTAAAAAGCAAGGTGTATCTGTATCTAATCCTCTGATCTCCATAAAGATCACAAGCTAGTATCTATACAGAAGTTCAAAGTATTTAGTTTCAGATTTTGTGAGCGAAGGCAGGTGAGGTTTAATGGAACAAGAACACCAGTCTTTGTCTCCACATCTTGACCAGGAGATACGAAGTGTGAAAAATGTTACATGGATGTTCGGGGTCCAAATTAGTCATCACCTATAATAATAAGTTACGGATACCCTACAAATATCCTCACTGATCAAATTATGTTTGGTCTCTTATTTGTATATTTTTCAGGAACAACTACAATAACCAAAACAGTGTGTAATATATAATAAAGGTTATGCAATGTCAGCTAAATATCAGATGATGGAAATTGCAACTGAAAATAAAAATATGAAGAAGTGGATAATATCATAGCCCAAATACTTATTTCAGGCATACTTCAAGTGAAAAAAAAAGATTTATTTTTCTCCTTGTTTAATTATTTTATATTGCTGCCAACAGTTTTTCATATTTCTTTGTATAATATTCTGATTGACACTACATAAATAGAATTTGTTTATTTATTGTTAAGTGTGTAACTTCACTGTGACAATTGCAGACATTAAACAAGCTCACTACTGGACCATGGAGAAAACAATTTTTTTTATTTAACTTATTAATAAGTTATGTGTACTGCTTAAAATGTATGATGTATTTACTCCCAGACATACAAGTTTTTAGCTGCAGTGTAATTTCTTTATAAGTGTGTGTATTTACAGAAAGTAGCATGATTTAACATTGTAAAGATCTGCTATTACAGCTGAGTTTATAAAAATTAGTTCGTTTACAATCAAACAAAAAATACTTAATCTTGAGAGGTAAAGTTAAGATCTCTTTCTCTTAAAAAAAAAACAACACAGATACTTACAGTTGTTAAAACAACTTCTTTAACTCTGTCATGATTACTTGAATACAGCTTTTTAGTAAGAAATGTAGTATTTAACATCTGCCACATTTCAGACGTAGAACCATTTTTTTAATATAATGGTTAATTTTACGAATGCCTTGATTGCACTGGAAATTTAGTATTTTAGTGAAGTATTCAACAACATAACTCTTATCCAATCCCATATTATCTTCCAGAAAACTCCCACCACATCAACAGCAATCTCAATTTTTTTTCTTCTTCACTAGAAAACAAGCACTAATGAAATGTATAGTATCAACATGTATTTCATGTTTAGAAATAATTAACACTCATTCACACAATTAACAATGCACTTTCAAAATTTATTTACACTGTCTACAGAGAATTGATTTCCCATCATATAAGAAATTCTTAACAAATACTTACAAGAATCAGCAAGTTTTTTGGAAATGGTGAAACCATCATACCTTAAATTGCATCATAATTATTTTTGCACACATTTTATAAGTCCTGTCAACTGACACTTATTGCTCACTTAATTGCCTTTAAGGGTGTAAAAAGTATCACAATGTCATATTCTTTGTGATCTGGATAGATAGAACTTTTATTTCCCATATCAACCTGTTACTTTTTTTTTTATTAAGACTGTTGTGGTTACAGTTAGGGAGATGAATGGAAATAACTTAAATTAATTTATTTCTAATTTTTTTACTTTAACTGTATAACAATACATACTGACTTGAAAAATTAAGTACTTCTGTCAAAGCAATTAAAGAAAAAGTAAAAACAAAAGTACTTCCTTACTAGCTGCTGGTAAGGAAAAAAATACTTGAACAAACACTTCCAAATTGTGTAGTGGCTGCATTTGAAATTCATACACTAGAATGTTAAAAGAACTAGTATATTCTAAGGAATTAATTTATATATATAGAAAAAAATTTAATTGTTTTTTTATTTTCAACCAGACAATTTCTAAATGAACAATCAAGAGTTATTTTTTACAGTAAGTAGTAGTTGAAAATCAAGTCATTTTTTTTTAAAAGACCAAAACTTTTATTATTAACAGTCCTTCCTGCTGATGACCAAAGAAAGACTAGTAGTTCCAAATTACTTAAGAACCCAGAAACACATTCAATCCCTTGAAGGTGGATTCGGCTGATGGTATAACAATTATCTGTAGTGTCATCTTTTCAAATCAAAGGACAGGTGGCATGTCTATTTCACCAACATTGGTCCGTTTAGGATCTGCTTGGACAGTGAAACCAAGCAGTGAGTTGTCGAGCTTTTGCATCCTATTCTTTTTCTTCTTTTTTCCTTTCCCACCACCTGTGCCACCATCTAGTTCTTGTTGTTGTATAACAGATTTGTTGACAATAGGTGTTATTGCTGGAGCTGGACCCCACATGTTAGCCTAATGAATAACAAATGAAATGTTTAAAAAAAACCTGTATATGTGTAATTCAGTATACTGCAAAATAATACTAATTTGTTTTAAATGAAAAGGAAAATATCTGGTTAATATTTTGTTCAAAGAACTTAACAAGGAATGGTCAGTGAAAACAATGATTACATATTTCCTTTAAAGTGAATTTCTTGTGCAGTATCTGATTTGTTTGTTGTTTTACAAGTTTACAAACATACTAAATATTCTCTTGAAAAATAAAATATAGTATAATTTACATATATTATGTACAAATGCATAATTATATTGAAGAAAGAATAACAAACGAAAGCCAATTAATCAGAACACTTATCGTTTAACTGATTCAAACTTACTGTTTTGAAGACGTTTAAAATTTTCTCAATTGAAAAATTTTTGTTCTGGTATTTCAAAATGAAAAAAAATTTATATATCTACTAATTACAATACACTAATGGTGTATTTTTCCAGTGTTATTAATTACCTATCACATTTACTACTCACCATAATTATTCAACTGGAATGATACTAAAAATATATTTTTAATCAAAGAAAACAAATAAATACACTCAAATTTCTTATCTTTAAAGTATAATTTCTAGCCATTTTCAGCAACACAACTGAACTGAGCATTTTTCTTTATTTTCAGAAACTCATTGATGAAATTTCTAACTGTATACTTAGACAAACCTTTTTTTCATTTTCTTTATGTTTAATAAACAATAAAACAAGGCATGAGAAGTTTCAAAATTTTTCTCAGTTTTAAAGAACATGATTAAAATTGATAAATGTCCACTGACACTTAGGAAAGACTTTAAAACTTCTTACAAAGTTGGATGTTAATAATTAAAACTGTATATATATATATAAACTTGTGCATCCCATTTTAGCTAAATTCCTGGTTTAATGAGTTAGTTTCAGCTATGTAAATTTGAAATGGCAACACAGAGAAATAATCATATTAATTCCTACCTCAGCTGGAGCTTGCTTGGACTGATTACGATATTTACTTCGCCGCTCCAAAAACTCTTTGGCAAATTCAGTTGATTCTTTACTTTCTCCTAGATAGGATCTCACATAATCATGTATCTGAAAATATACAATACAGAAACTGTGAAAACAATTTTCTGTATTCATGGAATTTATATCTCATGTTATAAACCTAGTCTATTTTCTACTGTTGGTTTTATGAAGATATAGGAAAAGTACAAAAATGAAACAGTACAACAAAAGTTACAGTACAAATGTGATCTGGTCCACAGTTATTGTTATTATGATGTAACAATTTAAAAGACATTAATGGATATTACTTTCAGTAATTTTGACATATATATGGAACACCCAAAAATATATATAAAGTTCAAACTAGATACATCTACATATAGTTGCTTTTATTATAACCATTTCATAGAACACTCACTAATTTATGTGCAAATACTTCAGTATATTACATATTTCTAAAGTGATGAAGAATAATTTACAAAAACTTCTCAATTATTGTAGCTAACTGTTCCCTATATTAATATGATGTGGTATATTTGCATAAAAGACTGTTAATACATATATATTGTTTAAATAATTGTATACTATTAATTGTATCTGTATGTGAATTCTATGGGATTCTACAGTGCACTGAAAGCAGTTCTCTGGGAAGAACCGAGCAAAATATGAGAAAGCTTTGATGATAAAGCTGCTAATTAATTGATTACTAATGGTTTCCAGTTAACTATATAGTTATGAGCACCGTTCTAGAATATGGAAGATGGTTCAAACCCACTGGTGCCTAACAACAGAAAAACATTAAAATAAATAAATTATAATAGCTTACGTGTGAAAAAAATAAATAAAAAATCAACCACATCATACTTACTGTTAATGAGGCCTTTTGCCCCATACTAGAACTCACAGTCATTTCTTTCAACTGGTATTATCACTATGGTAAGGTAATTTCAGTCACTTCTCCATCAAAAATACCACTATTCTCATACAACACAGATAGTGTGAAAGTAGGCCATTCTATCAATTTAACTACAGTGTATGTTTAACACTGACTTGAGTACTTAAAGTAAGATAACTGGTTTATGTCTAGTAGTGCTTAAGTTGGAGTTTTGGTTTGTGTCCAGTAGAGCTTGAAATTGGAGTTTTGGTTTGTGCCTAGCAGTTCTTAAAGTTAGATAACTAGTTTATGTCTAGCAGTGTTTGAAGTTGGAGTTCTGGTTTTGTGTCTAACAGTGCTTGAAGTTGGAGTTCTAGTTAGTGTGTAGCAGTTCTTGAAGCTGAAGATTTGGATTACGTCTAGCAGTTCTTGAAGTTGGAGTTCTGGTTTTGTGTCTAGCAGTGGTTGAAGTTGGAGTTCTGGTTTT